CCTTACCTAGCTGAGGTTAAGAGCAAGACTTGAAGGCAAAATACTGCGGTCTGCACTCAGCCAGCATTCCTGCACATCTATAAATTCTCCAAGTCTCTGTGCTGTGCCAGGAGCAGGCATGGAGTCACCCTCAGAGGTGTGGGGTGGCACCAGGGACCAGCGAGTCAGTGGCCTCATCTGGGAATGAGGTTAGGATGCAATTGTGCTTCTCAGCCTGCAGGCCGACCCAGCAGGGATTGGGAATCAAGATTTTAATAAAATAGAACAGACTAAAGCGGACTAGGACTCACCAGGGTGCAATGCATGCACTGAGGGTAAGCAAAGGGCGTGAGGTTTCATTCCATCAGGTGTGTCTGTGCATGACGGGAAGGTGTCAAATCTACTTCTCACTGAGTCTCCATCAAAGGCCCGGAGGCCATAGAAGAGATGCCCCCTGAGATCCCTCACAGCCCTGCTGTTCACCTACTGAGTGACTGTAGGGAACTGCTCATGTGCTCTTGTTGATGGGGTGGGGGTGGCAGAGCAGGGAGAAATCGGGGATGGGGATAAGTTTGGGCTAAAGTTGAGGGTCACTGGGGAAAACAGCATCAGTTCATACAGATACGGGAGCCAAGGCCGTTCCCCAAAAGAACTTCATCTGCCTAGGATTCTTTCAGCTTCCTTAACACCTTTGACCCTAGAGTCCCTGCATCTCCCCAAATCAGAGCTGCAGGCCCATGAGACAGGCTGCAGGTGAGGAGCTGGCAACTCCCAGTGAGCAGGCCTGGAAGATGCCAAGGGCAGGCCAGAACTTCTTGGGGTGGCAATTGCCCAAACCTGCATGTAAGCACAAAGTGGGCGTCCCTTCACTAAGGATCAGAGCAAAGTGCTTTCTGCGGGTGCAGCTGTCCCTGTGGGTGGCCACTTCTCAGCTTCCAGGAGCAAGCCCCAAGAGTTCTCTGTTCCAGGCTCTCCTACCAGGATGACGAAAATCGGCAACTGACCATCCCAGAGGAGGACAAGAGAGACATCCGGCAATCCCCAAAGAGGGGTTTCCTCCGCACCGCCTCACTAGGTAAATGCACACCTCACTCTCCAGGGGCGGTCGGTGGTTACTCCCAAGAGGACACTGGTCAGGTACTCAGGGGTGATTGAGAAACCGTGTGGCCTGGCCTCACAAGGGAACCAGCCTCACACAGTGGGCTGGGTAGATTTCCAAAGCAAGGAGGCAGCATTCCAAAGGCAGGGTGTGCAGGGATGAGCCCAGGAGAGACGCTTCAGAATACATCTCAGATGAGGGGAGGGGAAAGGAGGAGTGTCCCGGGCCACAGTTACTGCTCCTGGCACCCACCTGGATGTGAACCGTCACAGGCCAGCATCCTGTTTTCTGCCCTGATCCTGGCTCTCTGGCTGCCTTTGCAGGTCGAAGGGCCTCCTTCCACCTGGAATGTCTGAAGCGACAGAAGGACCGAGGGGGAGACATCTCTCAGAAGACAGTCCTGCCCTTGCATCTGGTTCATCATCAGGTAGCTTTTGGACAAGCCACTGTCACCTGCTGGCAGGCCAGACAGTCCCCAGGATGATGGACAAATCCTGAGGACATCAGTGGGCCTTGCCTGTCTCTGATGGCTGGCACATCATGCCCCTGCCCTCAGAGCCACCCCATAGGGCTTCACACACCTCCTGTGCAGGTAAAGGCTGCAGCAAGGTTTGCAGCATCGCAGGGTGGGGGCCTAGGATGTGCTGGTGCACAGGAGCTCTTCGTGTCATCCTGAGGACCCACAGCTGTGGGCTCCACGTGAGTTTTTTCTTAGGCTGCCACAGATCCCACTGACTCCCCAGACACTGACTTATGCTGCAGGGCACTCAGGAAGACGTACTTGTACCTAGAGTTTGAACATACTGGAAATTTTGCTGCACAAAAATCCATCCAGTGACATATAGAAGTGATTAAAGAACCCGCCAGCCACATGGTCAAGAGTAGGGAATGACATCCAGGGAAGTCAGGTCCAGGGAGATTCCATAAATGAAACTGTCTCTGGGCATGGCTGACTCCAGCTGAGATAGTGAAATCCAAGATGGCTGGACCAAACATATTTTAGTATCTTTGAACTTCAGTGTTATCTGAGGCCAGTCCCTTAACCCCAGGCAAACTGAGTTTCCCAACATTCTGACCTTTTTAATGATATACTCTCTTATAGCATGGACGTATGCTTTAAATGACTTTTTTGTACCCAAAGGCATTCAACTGCTAATCAAAACTCACAATCGGTGTGAGATGGCCAGTGTGGCCTTGCGGAGTTGATAGGACTTCAGCTCCAAGAAATGAGCTGGTTTTCTTAGCCTGTGTGTGTTGATTTCCACTGGGCTTTCCGAAATAATGAATATGGCCTTACACTTTTCTCAGATCCCCAGGGACACAGAAGCCCCAGGCTGAGGACCACCATGGGCTGGGGCAGGAGGTGGAAGGATGTGGGGACACTATGTGTGCCATCTTAAAAGATTCTTAATGGTTAATTTCACCTACCTGGTCTTGTTATACTGGCAGGCACGAAACTCTCCTCTTCAGCTCTTTCTCCTCCTGTTCTCTGTGCCCCTAGAGGTGGCCTTTCCCCACGCACGGTGTCTCTCTCTCCCGGAAGCACATCCCATCAGAGCAGCTCGCCCTACAGAGCCTCTGCCCTGGCAGGTCGTCATGGCAACAGCCGGGTAGGCCTGGTCCCTGCCCTCAGGATGCTCAAGAATATTCAGGGACAGAGGGCACACCACGTGAATCTTTTAATCACAATGCAGCACCAGATTTAACAATGGTTCAAAGACAACCTGAGCTAGAGGCAGGCAGGGCATTATGAATGGCCCCGTTAACTGTCAGAACCCAAACCGCAAATACTGGTTTTCCCGACTCTTTGTGAGGTGCAGAGTGCTTCTTCACAGACATTGCACTTGAATCTCACACCAGCCCCGCCAGGCGAATGGATAGAGGGCGTTCGCTCTCCAGCTTTACAGACATGCAGGCCTCACCCTGTTCTCCGTTCTGTTGAGGACAAAAGCCAGAGCAAGAGAATCAACAGGTGACAGGGCCAGGGCTCAAAGCAGGTTACCATGACTCTACCCAATCCCAGCTTGCAGAAGTTACAGGAGAAAGAAATCACTTCGGACCCAGGTGATCCTAAGATGTATTTGAGATGGTTGAAAGTCATGCCAGGTTAATGAATAGGACCAAGAGGGGAAAACGATGGCATGTGAATATCAGGCTGGTGGAGCTAGCTGGACACAGCCCCTGCAAAGCAGTGGTTGCTCAGAAGCAGGAGCCTGCCTTGCTTGGGGTGGACTCTTCTATTAACTCACACTCCTTGTGTGTCCGCAGGCACTGGCAGTGGCAGGCCTGAGCCCCCTCCTCCAGAGAAGCCATTCCCCCGCCTCATTCCCCAGGCCTTTTGCCACCCCCCCGGCCACACCTGGCAGCCGAGGCTGGCCCCCACAGCCCATCCCCACCCTGCGGCTAGAAGGGGCCGAGTCCAGCGAGAAACTCAACAGCAGCTTCCCGTCCATCCACTGCGGCTCCTGGGCTGAGACCACCCCCTGTGGCGGGGGCAGCAGCACCGCCCGGAGAGCCCGGCCCGTCTCCCTCATGGTGCCCAGCCAGGCTGGGGCCCCAGGGAGGCAGTTCCACGGCAGTGCCAGCAGCCTGGTGGAAGCGGTAGGTGACTCGCGGACAGGCGGGGGGAGAGGCCACGGGCAGCAAGGGGACTTGGCATGTGGAGCTGAGAAGGGAGCACCTGGCTCTTTCCAAATTCATTGCAGTCAATATCTGAGCAGAAAGACCCTCCCCGCCAGAGCTGCGGGAGGGCTGGTGTGAGGAAAGCCGTGCCCACACGAGATGCCATGGGCTCTCCTGAGGCCAGGCGCACTGCAGAGGGCGACAGAAATCACTGAGCAACTTGTCCCGGCCATAGACCTTTGTGCTGCCTCTGCTCAACACGCAAATGTGAGCTTGGCTGCCTTTCTACACAGACAGGCCAGATCCAAGGCACTCAGGCCTGACTATCCATGAGAATCACCTGGGGAGCTTTGGAATGAGGACAAATTAAGTGATAGTTGTTAAAGCTCTTCGATGATTTTGATGCATAGCCAGGCTGGGAGACACTAGTCTAGAACAAGAGAGCTTTCAGTCCCATGTGCTCTGCCTGGTCAGAGCATCTAGTGCAATCCTGGCACCACATTATTAGGGACCTCTGACACATTGGAACAGGCCCAAAAGGGGATGACCAGAATGGCAAGGTTTCTAGACACCATTTCCCAGGAGAACCGGTTCAGGGAATTAGGGAAGAAAACCTGGAGAGGAGGTGACCGTGGAGGGTGCGATGCACCTCTCACACCTGCAGCGGCAGGGATGGGGAGAGGTGGCAGAGTGACTGGCTCAACCCACCAGCAGGCAGATTTCAGCTCACTTGAGGAAGACCTTCCCAACTGGCCTCTTCCAAAACGAGAGGGGCTTGCCTGAAAAGTAGTGAGCCCCCATCACCGGGCATAGCCAAGCAGAGGCTGTGCTCATCTGGACATCAGGCTGTCGGGCAGGAGGTGGGGGAGTTAATCTGGTATTTCCTGTGGCCTTGGCTATCCTTCATTCATTTCACAGACCTCCCCTGAGTGCCTACTATGTGCAGGCGCTGTTCTAGGTACAGGGACGCAGCTGAGAAACACAGCTTCTGCTCTCATGAGCTAACGTTGTGGTGAGGAGAAACAGATAATAAACACACACATATATAACACATCAGGAAATTCAGGAGTGCCAAAGAAAAACTAAGCAGGGTAAGGAGTGAAGGAGCAAGACAAACAAGCCTGGGAGGAGTGAGTGCCAGGCTGCACTCAGCTTCCACCTCCTGGCTCAGGAGCCAACTTTCCTATAGCTGGGCACGAAGCAGCCAGTAAGGAGGACAGAGAACTTTGGGGGTCACCTGCTGGCCCTTCCCAGCAGAAGCAGGGCAGGGGCATGCACGGTGTTTGCACATATAACTCACCCCTGAAAAGGCAGCAGCAGGCAATGGGCAGTGGGTCTGTCTCGACAGTTTTACCAGGGAGAATGGTTTCTCTGAAAGAATAGTATAAAGGCTCTGCGGGTGTCAGAAAGGAGAGAGGCAGGCTGGGGTCTGCTGATGAAGCAGCAGGGAACGCCCCCACCCCCCATCCCCGGGCCCCTTTGTGAGCCAAGCCGACTCTAGTTTTTGTTCTGGTGGTTGTCTTTTGAGACAGGTTCTTGCTCTATCACCCGGGCTGGAGTGTGGTGGTGCTATCGTAGCTCACTGCAGCCTGTGCTAGAACCACAGGCATTCATCACCACACCCAGCCAAATGCTTTTAAATTTTTTGTAGACACAAAGTTTCCCTGTGTTGCCTGGACCATCTCAAACTCCTGGGCTCAAGCAGTCCTTCTGCCTGGGCTTCCCAAGGTGCTGAGTGACAGGTGTGAGCCACAGTGCTGGGCCATAAACCAAGTCTACATATATTTGATGACAGTGTTTGGCCAGCCCAGCCAAAATTCTCTCCTCTGGCCTGGACGTCCCTAGTTCTTTTGGCAGATGCTCCATCTCTACTTGTTCCCTATGGGTGCCACTCCCAACACGCACACACACGTGCACACGCATGCGTGCACACACGCACACTTCCCCAAGTGACCCACCAGATACCCCTGGCTCTAGCCCTCAAGAGAAGAGCTGGGCTCCAGGAATAATGTTCCTTTGGTTCTCCATGGCTCCCATCCCGCGTCTCCAGGTCTTGATTTCAGAAGGACTGGGGCAGTTTGCTCAAGATCCCAAGTTCATCGAGGTCACCACCCAGGAGCTGGCCGACGCCTGCGACATGACCATAGAGGAGATGGAGAGCGCGGCCGACAACATCCTCAGCGGGGGCGCCCCACAGAGCCCCAATGGCGCCCTCTTACCCTTTGTGAACTGCAGGGACGCGGGGCAGGACCTAGCCGGGGGCGAAGAGGACGCGGGCTGTGTGCGCGCTCGGGCGCGACTGAGTGAGGAGGAGCTCCAGGACAGCAGGGTCTACGTCAGCAGCCTGTAGTGGGCGCTGCCAGATGCGGGCTTTTTTTTATTTGTTTCAATGTTCCTAATGGGTTCGTTTCAGAAGTGCCTCACTGTTCTCGTGACCTGGAGTTAACCGGAACAGCGTCTTCATTCATTTCTGGTGGGACAAGACGCGGAGCCTGGGTGCGCGAGCCGCCGTCCGGGAGGAAGGCGCCCGGCTGTGTCCGCAGACGCGCGGCGAGGAGGCGGCGAGGGTCCCGGGGCGTGAGGAAGGCGCCTGTCCTCCCCAAGCCCGCAGGCCCCGGGACCGGCAGCGCCTCTGCGGGGAGAGCACCCCGGCTTCCTGCGCGCCGTCACCAAAAGGACCCTACAGCAAACGGGTGTCTTTCGACTCTGCTTGTAGAAACCATTTGCACATATTCTGTACGAGCCTGCTGTCTCCCTAGAGCCAGGGCCCTGCGGATTTGGAGAAGGGAGCCGGGCAGGACTTCCAGGAGGACCCCGCCGGGGCCTGGAGAGGGAGGAGGAGGCCGCCAGGGGCGCGGAGCTTTGGGGATGGGCGTCCGGCCGGCGGGGGTGCGCCTCACCTCGACCCGTCCCCATCCACCAGCGACGGGATCGCCCCACAGGCACAGGCCACGCCGGGCTCCCGGCCAGCCGCCGGCCCGCAGGCAGCGCAAGGGAGGAGCTGCGCCGCAGGGAAGGGGCCGCCGGCTCCGCCCAACCAGGTGGTGCTGAGCTTCCGCTGAGCGCTCTTTTGTTTTGTGGTTTGACACTTTTCTTGACAGCATGTTGCAGTTTTCGGTTCTTTGGATTTTTTGTTTTGTTTTGGTTTTGGTTTTTGGTTTTCGGTTTTTTATTTTGTTTTCCCGGGGGGGAAGGGAGAAAGACGAGTGTTTACAAAGTCCTGTAGCCCCCTCACCTTTCTGTTTTCACTTTTGCCAATGTACATCGGGTTTGGTTTTCTTGTATTATTTAAAGGATTGTCGTTTCCTTTTCCCACGGAGGTTCAATAGAAGGCGCTGCAGGAGAGTTTTACCATCCATTGTGTATGCCCAATAATTTGTTATCATTTCCTTAGGCAGTAACCTATTTTTTTTTTTTTTTTTCTGGTTTAGTTCGGTTTTCTAATGGAAAAGTAATTGGCAATGCACTTGTTGTGGTCTTGCACATGTGGGTGATAGAGTTGGGTTCCTTTTTATGCTGGGTGTACAGGTGGGTTTGGGAGAGAGGAGCATGCTCGAGAGACTCTGTGAGTGTGCGACGCGAGTGTGTGTGGTGGGTTGTCTGTGCGCATATGTCCTACCTATGTATATGCACCCACACCATATGCCCGCGCACACCAGTGGCTACGCAGTCCCCCCTTTCTGGTTTAACTGTGGGAAGATCTGAATCTGGGGCCATGTGAAAGCAAAAACAAACCACTGTCTCTGCTTCTGAAATGGGTATCAGTAACCCTTTGCATTTTCTGTCCCACAAGATATGCAAAAACAATGCAATAATATTCATTTAAAAATACAATTGTGAGTTGTGTTGGCATTAAAGCTGTATTTAAAAAAAAGACACAGAAATTTAAGGGAAAAACACAAGAAGGCATTTTGCTTCAATATATTCCTTGTAATGTTTTATTGCATTGATAATGTTTCTGTTGAAGAAACCGTTATACTTGAATTCAGGTCAGTTTCAGTATTTTTCAAATATTTTTTTAAAACTGAATTGCAATTGTGCCAAGCGAATATAATGAATTGAATTAAGTTGGTTTTTGGATTCACTTCTTGTATATTTTGCTGCATGTAAAGTAAATCATTTTGTATTTGGAGTGTGACAAGCTTTACCTTTGAACTCTTAAGTGCTTTTCTATATGTGGTTGGGGGAAAGGGAATGAGTTTTCTTTAATTTGCACAATGAGCAAAGGTATCACCAGTGTAGTCATTATTCTGCTCTCCACAAACAGGTTTGGACATTACTGTTTTGCATATCTTGTGTTCACTTCCATTTCCCTCAGTTTTTCCAAAATCATTTGCTGGGTATGTTCGTACCGCCTCCTGCTGTGAGACCAGGACCTATTTTATTCCAGTCTTCACTGTGTCCTCCCTGCTCTGGTCCTCTGATTTGGTACTTCTCCAAGAACAGCCCTTCACTGTGAGGCGTAGGGAGGGATTCTGACCGGCCCTCGGTCTCCGGGCTGGCGTGTGCATCCCCCATGGAAGAGGTGGCCGGCTTGCCCTTCACTCCCACCACTCAGACTTTTCTTGTTGGGTTCCTTAGAAAAGTGTACACTAACCGGGAGGATGAAATTAAAGTCAGGCTGCTTGGAGGGAGGGGCATCCTCACTTCAGGAATCTGCTCTATCCAAGGAGGACAGCAGGGGCTCGAGAAAGGAACTGGTGAAACTGCCTGCCATCTGAAAGTCAACTCTGCGTGCTCCTTTCTCCGTCCCTTCCTCACTCCGGAGCTGCCTTGCCTTCAGGCCTGCCCTCATGTTTGGGCTGCCAAGGAGGGGGCCAGGGCAAGGGAAGAGGCATCAGGAGCCCACAGTGCAGGTGGGGATGGATTTTGTGAGGACATCTCCGACGCTCATTTACATCTCCCTACTCTGTGGTGCTGTGTCCTTCAAATGTGTGTCAACAGTGATGGTTGAAAAGGGACTGCTTTGGGAAAACAGGACCCAGTCATTTGCCTGGAATTGACCCATTGAATCCCTTCCAGTCCTAGTGTTCCCTCAGCCCCTCTTGGCACATATATAAGCAAGCTAGAAATTAACGAAGAGTCCATTCCTCTATGACAACTTGCTTGACTGATTCATGAAAAAGTAGAGAAAGGTACTCAGTACTCCCCAGTTAACACAGCCTAGAAACAGAGTTTCCTCACGGATGTCCACACCCAAGTCATCCAAACTTTCCTGATTCCTTTTCAGTGCCATCCGGGTTCTCTAGAAATTGAGTTTAGGTACCATCCTTTGAAAAGTTCCCAAGATTTCTACCAGGAAGTACACACAGGAATCCCTGTCTAGGGCAGGAGGACTTTCCTAGCCTGACCTCCTGATCCACCAGAATAAGACTGACATATGCTGCCTGTCATCAGAACAGACTGGCACAGCAAGTAATGACATCGACAAACCGCAGCCACGAGTTTCAAAGTGGTGTCTACTCTCCACCTAAAATGGAATTTTCCCCATGACCTTTTAAAACATAATTGTCACATCTTCCGTACCCCTCCTGACACCCAATGAGTGGCAGGAGAAAACGGCCAAGGGCCGAGGGCCCAAGGGACTTGAAGAAACACAGTTTAAGGTCTGCAGTTTGGTCAGTTTAATTCTTTGTCCTCTGACCAGCCCCGCCTCTTTCATTTTCAGACCTTGGTGAACTTTTCCCAGCTTTGATTCGGAAGGTATTAGTTATAACCCCTTTTCTTCTTCTTAACCCAGTAGGCCTCACTCTGACTGGAAAATCCACTCAAAGGAGCAAGGCAGTGTCTCTCATTCTCCTGTTTCCCAGTTTCAAATTCCAGGTGCTCGTCTGGAGCGAAGCTGCCTGTCACTTTCTCCCAGGTTTTCTCTACCCAGCACATCTCCTGGCCATCCAGCTGAAGACAGGGGATGCAACCTCAGGAAAAGCAGGTCTTTGCATGCCCAAGCCCATCTCCTGAGAAATAGGGACACCTTGAAAATGAGGACTTTGGAAGTTACCCAAAGGATGGTGGCTGCGAGTCCTGAGGTACACAGTGACCACTGCTAAAGGCAAAGAAATAGAACAAGAATGTAGGTCAGAGGTAGAGTGGAACCCTGCTCGTCGGGGATTTTAGGCTCATCAAACCATCATGGAAAGGGTGGCAAAGGAGGATGATGGCATCTCCATCCCTAGAGGCCTAGAATAATTAAATATCATTGTCGAGGATTTCGAAACAATTCAGCAAAGAGCCCTCAAAATGGGCCTGCTGACTCCCAGAAGACCTCTTTAAACCCCAAGGGAGGAAACTCGATGATGGGTTCTGGGCCAATTCCATGTTTTAAAGAAGACCTGCCGCTGAGGCAAATGTCAGCACAGAGAGGACTAGGGGGCGAACGAAGGCAAGAAAGGGGCGTATTTTGACTCCCTCTGTGTCTCTTCCCATTTCACGGAAGGACGTGTTCAGCTCAGCCACCCACAGTGACCAGTGTGGTGGAGCCGCTGACATCTCGAGGATCTATTTGGGAAGGTGAGAAAAGTGCACGTTCCAGCTGGGGGTGTTGTCCCTGCCACGTCAGCCGACCTGGTGGGGTGTGAGGGTGTCTGCCGCCCTGTCCCTCCCCTGCTGATGTCCCTCCCCCTCATGCTGTCCAGGTGCCCCCAGACACAGGCTCCTGTACAAAGGCAGGTGGGAAAGCCCGAACCTCACTCACAAGGAGGCCCTCAGCCAGAGTCCAGGCTCTCCAGCAGCTACGATTTGAGGAGGTTGAGGGGAAAGACAGGAGGGAAAGAAGAGTCCCACAACCGTCAGGGATGGGGCACCTTTCCCTGTCCCTGAGCAGCGCTCCCTGTTCCCACCGCCCTCCCCAGCCCCAGTTCCCTGTCCTCCCCAAAACCTAGTGAGAAAGATGGTGTGTGGAAGGGGCCTCATGGGCAGATGCTACGCAACCTCTTTGTGAAGCCACTTCTGGGTTCAACGTAATTCAGTCATTTATTTTTATGTCAAAGCAATGAAGCATTTCTTTGTGGAGCCAGATAGCAATACAACAGACGAATGGGTTTCTGCCACATCTCTACATTATTGTGAGGGATGCTTGACCTACCTCCCCGCCTCCCCACCCTTCAGGCCCAGGGGCTGGGATTCAGCTCTAGAGATGGGACTTTCCTACTCCTACAAGGGTGTGCACTGTACACACAGACAAGGAGGGAGCAGCAGAGTGATGTTCCTGGGTAGAAGTAGTACCATCAGAACCTTATTATTATGATGAGATAAATACTATTTATGTACATTGAGAGAGTACTACAATCAACACTTCGTCCTGGGGCG